GAGTTTTGTATGGAGATGTACGAAATAAATCGCATACTCTTGGAGAAAAATTGGAACTATTGGAAAAGGGGGCGTGGCATCTTCCATACAAACCGAATTTTTCATACTGCCTATCTTTGGAAGTGTTCATGGTAGAGTTCCGGAACTTGGTATGGAGATATACGAAATCAATCGCATATAAATCGAATTTTTATACTGCATATCTCTGGTACAGTACTGGAACTTCGTATGGAGATATGTATATAGTTGAAATCAAGCCCATACTCATAGAGAAAATTTGGGCTATTTGAAAAGGTGTGTGAGGCCTACAAACGTACCGACCTTTAGCTATCTTTGAATGAATTTTTTTATTCTTCTGTAGGTGTGTTTGTGAGTAAAATCCTCCCGAATGGTTGTACGGATCTTAACGAAACTTTTTGTGTATTTGAGTGGGTCTCTGGATGGTTTAGTTTCACAATTTAATCCGACAGTTGGCGCTGTAGTTGAGTTATTACTAAAAATCTTATTTATGATCCGATTTGGCTAATGTTTTAAATNCATTTTGGGCAAGACGAAGTTCGCCGGGTCTGCTAGTATTCAATGAAAGGTAAACTTGATAAGTTAATATTAATACGAAATATTTAAGTTAACATCGAATCGTTCTCATTCGCGTAGCGTTTTGCTTTAATTTTAACACCAAAAATTTTTTATTCATATTTTTCAAAAATTTAAAAAAGAAGAAGTTTTTCTCTCCTGAAAAATTTTAAAAATGGACTTAGCCACTTTTCACTCTAAGTAACCGATATGTATTTCTTATTTGTACTTGATATTTAATACCTGTTTACAATTGATCACTGCATCGAACATGTAATTACCATTAGCCAATTCACCCCAATCCAAGATAATTATATTGACATCGTCCCGCTGCAGATAGGCATCTACAATTACATGTATGCTTTCAATATTTGCGTCCTCTAAGTAGCCATGTAAATACAGCACGGTATTTTTTGTTTTTGAGAAATTCGAGTCCTCGAGGAGCGACTTGTAGTCGTTAAGATCATAAATGTCGCTGTCGCCATAGGTCGGCCTGTAATAAAAAAATATTAATCAAAATACAATTTTTTAATTTCTAAATTACAAAATCGTAAAAATTCTGAAGAGGTGAATTCTGTCTTCTTACGCGGAAACTAAACAAAATTTTTACAAAATAGGAAGCATGGTTTTTGAGTTATGACAGTCTTTTAGTAAATGGCCGACGGTGACATGTAACAAGATCAACGGAAATAAGGTCAATTGACATTATTACCATTTCAAAAGCGAAATAAAGTCAACAAAAATTTGGAAATAAAGTCATTGACGCTATTTCCTCATTCAAATGGAAATAGCGTCAACAATGCTTAAAGTATGTCGGTTCATAGAAAAAAATTTTGTTTTTACAATAAACCTTGCCCCGTAAGTATTCTTTTTTAATAGATGAAAAAGGTTATTGCCAAATCCTCAGTGTGATGCTATTAATCCACACACAATCGTGAACTACCACCAATTGATTTTATTAAAAAATTTAAAATTGCGAATATAGTAAAAACACGATGCGAAAAACCAAACGCAAAACGCAGCTGGAATAAATACGAGAAATATTTGAAGAAAGGGTGTAGAAATGATCCAGAACTTGCAAAACATGTTTCGTTTCCACAAAAATAAAGCGAACACTATTAAATTGAACAAACAGTCCATGTACAAAAAACCCCGGAGGGACACTGAAAGAATGCTGTGTTTTAAATTAGCATATTTTGAACGAATTTTAAATGTCTAAGGTGGAAAATAAACCAACCTTTCTATAAGGAAACAATTATATAAAAAGAATTTTCTTACACTGTATTCATGTCTCCGCCAGAAATTTGTGACGACATCATTTAAAAGCATCTAAGGAGAACGACGACACTATTTGTTAGATGGCACATTCAAGCCAATGTGCCAAAATGCGGATATAAACAATTATTGATTATTTAATATCGGAACTGAGATCATGAAAGTAAATTGATTGGTGTTCACACACTTTTGAAACACAAATGATATGCTTTTTTACTGCAGACAAGTNGTTAGATGGCACATTCAAGCCAATGTGCCAAAATGCGGATATAAACAATTATTGATTATTTAATATCGGAACTGAGATCATGAAAGTAAATTGATTGGTGTTCACACACTTTTGAAACACAAATGATATGCTTTTTTACTGCAGACAAGTTGTTGCCAAAACACAGCAGAAATCTTCCAATAACTTACAAATATTCAAATGTGAAATATCGAGGGCTTAAATTCATTAATACCCTCTATCAAAACTAATTTGTGATTGTAGAAACCATCTGGGACTTATTACCTGTCATCACTGATTTCCAATTTATAATAGTGAAAATTCTTCTGTCAAGCGTTATATAAGGTAGCATTAATATCACCGATGACACTTAAATCTTTGGTGGATTTTTATATCAGAAACTCATCTTTGTGAAAAGTGTGCATAGAGAGGGTATTATTAAATATATGCCCTCGATATGTAAAATATACAAAAAAAATTTCTTTCAATGTATACAAAAAAAATCTACCTGCGTTACAGCCGCGTAGCGTGACGTGGTGTGGCGCGCAGACGTGGGCCGCCGGGAAGCTAAGCAAATTTAATCTTTGAAAGAGCAATAATTTCAATGGATTTTATTTCGCTTTTGAAAAGGTAATAATGTCAATTGACTTTATTTCGCACCAGGGCGAAAAGGGTGAATGGTCACACTGGCGGGCCAAAGCTCAGGACTGAGTAGTTTATTAAACATAGCTTCAGGCACTCCTAGATAAAAATTTATTCGCCTTAATGATTCGAGTGGAGTATCTTTTTTTATAAGACTATAGCAAGATAGTAGCTCGTTTGCTATTCCCGAATGCTTAGCAATATACCCAATCACATTGTCACTCGTAACAGAAGGCAAAACCGATGCAATATGAAGTCACTTAGTACGAACAGCAACATCGAGCTCCGAATTAACATTTAAACCAATGACACGCAATTGTTGTCGACTACATTTCTTCTTCTTCTTGAAAGTAAGCCACTCAGATTTTTGGTGAGCAAGCTGGTCATTGCTGTCACCTATAATAACAACTTCATCCGAGCGTACATCAGCAGACTCAGCAGGTAACAGAGACGACTCCGTATTATTGTTGGCAATGGTAGCAGAACTACAAGGGGCCACGCGCTTAGCTGACATAGCAGGAGAGAGCTGCTCCGCAGTAGAGGTCGTAACCTTAGCAGGCAGAGCAGCCGAGAGATCAGCACTAGCCAACGACGGCTCAGCGAGAGTATTAATGGCAATGACATCAGTAAGATCGGCACTCGAAGAAGCAGGAGAAATGCGCATAATCGACGATAACGCAGCAGCAGTATCAGCTTCAGCACCTTGCATTGTCCGCTTGGGCTGAGAACAAATTTCAATGATTTTTGACAAATTAGACGAGTTGCTCTTGGGAGGCGGGTCAATGCCCTTTCATCGAAAGCGCGTATTAATCGCATTTTCACTTGCATCAATGTTCATAGACTTCAACGTAGACTTGTCATTGTTCTTAACAGGGACGTGAACCGGTTTTGAACCGAACCGGTTTTGAACCGGAAAACCGCTTTTTTCTATTAATTAACTGAACCATTAACCGAACCGAAATTTTCCACAAATGTTTGATCCGACCCGAAAACCGAACCACTTTCCATAAAGGTTTAAAGGTTCGTTTCAACCAAGTTTTAATAGATAAATGTACCCACTTTTTTCTTTTTGTTAAACATGGTAATATCTACCATGTGACAGAAAGACAGAAGAAATACGTTTATGATAAAATTTTGGAAAACGAGCGTGGCACCGTCCACTTATGATCACATATATGTATCTCGGTAATCGGTCTACCAATTTATACCAAACTCGGTATTCCTATTGTGCTTGCCAAATAAAAGCAAAACGGTTAAAATTATTGAAATCAGACTAAAATTGAGGCCGCTTTTCATACAACGGTAAATTTCAGAAATGCTTGAAACTTCAATATTTCGAAATTTAAGGACGCTTAATTACTCAAAATTGATACACCCCGCTTACCATGTTGCGGTCGCTCTCGGAAAGGTGAAAATCATATATTTAATACTTGCGCCGGGTATTTAATGTTCGGCTCCGCCCGAACTTAGACTTTATTACTTGTTTGTTTTTCGAACCGTTCAACCGAACCGAAACCCCGGTTCAAATACCAAAAAAACCGCTTTGAGGAACCAATCCAAAAGTGCAAAAACGGTTCACGTCCCTGGTTCTTAACACCCGCAAGCACCTTCTGAATTTCAGCTAATGAAGAAGACCACACTTTTTCAAATTTAGAGAGGCACATAGGAATAGTGCAATTAACGCAGATATCACATCTAAACATAATATTCACGTTTACTTTTACAAGATTTAGGCAGTTAGAGTTTAAGTTAGAGCATTTTAAATGCACTTTTTGCCCACAGACACCGCAAGAGATAAAGTCATCTTTTACGATTTGTTTCTCACAGTTTATACACTTAGTCATCGCGATATCAGACCGAAGAGCAAAATGCAAAACACAGAGCAACGAAAAACACGTCTGCCCGCGACGACGGTCAACTGATATATTGTTACCTGTCACCATGACCGACATGTCTATGACTCGATCGAAAATTAATTTCGAACGGAACTGACTATAATTTTTCTCAATCCTTGCATCGAATCGTTTTTATTATGGAATGCCCGAAAATAATATACTCGTACGTCTCGCTAAGTATTTTATCGTGCTTCTCCAGTAAGTTTAGTCCTGCAAATGGTTTTTTTGAGAAGCCTTTCTTCGTGACTGAATTACACTCGGATTTTTAGCGTTTATTTAAAATGTGCGTTTCCTTAAGTATTACTTATAACAAGTTATGGTCTGATTATGCATACTTCGCATAACTTCGCACAACTTCGCATAACCTGCAAATTGTAATTTCGTATGTTCTTTGTACGTATTTTTTTATGTATTACCCAGAAATTGGCGGAACTTTTAAAAACTTAGCGATCTGTTTAGTTAAGATTTCGCTTCACATTTTCTTTTTTAAGTTACATTCTTATTGCACTGGTACAAATGGTTGTGCGAAGTTATGCGAAGTATGCATAATCAGACCTTTAGATATGTAAAATATTTTAGTAAGTTTCGTACCCATAAAATAACATAAATTTTGCAATTGTCAGATCAGCGTGGGATGATTTTAAGCCCATCAGTAATCCTGTAAGTAAATAAAAAAAACGATTATTTATCATCGGGCGCAATGTGCATGCAGCTGGCACTGGTAGTTAAATTAATGCAATAAATTATATCAGAAAGAATCCACGATGTGGAGAAGAAAGGTGGTGCCCATCCCGTACCGCTATTCCGCTATTCTCAGTGAATTTGACAGAATCGCCGTTTGTGTGACGTCACACTTGTGCAACTTATTTACATTTTTCTTGCAATATTTCTTCTTCTTGCATTCTTGCTCGCGTTTTGAACCAACTAACTTAACCAATGTGACGTCACACAAAAATTATTCTCAAAAATCCTCTCTTGGAAAAAAACCTGTATGTTTCTTTTGGTCAGAAGCACGGTTGCCACTAATTTTTTGTGGCCCAAAATTTAAAAAAGTGTACCAAAATATTTTTTAGAATTAAAATTAGTCTACATTTTCACCTAAATATTCATACATTGTATAAGTATGCGAATTTGTTACTTCATTACAAATTACATATTTTCTAACTATACTCTTTTTATTTACACCACAACCCAGCATATTTAAATTTCTTTGATCGACTACTTTCCAGGGAACAATTACACATTCTCTGAATAAAGGGTTTTCTTTTTCACTTTATCATTTTACAACTCGTCACTTTATAATATATATTGATATTAATAAATTTCAAGAAAAACTTATTCTAAAACATATGTTTAAGGCCGGGTAATAGCACATAAATATAAAAACAATACAAAACGTAGTTATATATCTAAATAACAATTATCTATTTTTGTACGATTTTAAAAATGTACCAAATCCAAAAGTTGTGTACCAGTGTACCAAACTAGAAAAAATGTGCCAAAAATGGTACATTTTGGCCAAAATGGAAACCGTGGTCAGAAGTTCTGCTGATTTTTCTGAAGACGCGCAGCGTATTTTGTATGGAAAACGATAAAGAACGTGCTTCGCAAGCGCGCTAGACTCGCTGTCACTTACATATGTATGTATACTTGTTGAGTTTTCCATACAAAACACGTTGCGCGTCATGAGAAAAATCATGATAACTTCTGACCTAATGCAATATACTGATTTTTTCTTTCTTTAAGTCTTCGTAATAAAACAAGGAATCGTAAATGCCCAGAAAAAATATTGAATTCGGATCAGAAGTTTATTTGTTTTAAATAATTGTTGGTATTACTTATACTAAATTTAAGCATAATCAATTTTTTTTAAATTGGATGTTTAAAAATTTTTTAAACAATATCTCTTGAAAAAATTAAATTCTTGCAAAACCGCTTTAGGTTATAATTTTTACTCCAGAATACTATAAAGTTATTGATATAACAACAAAAATTTAGTGGCCCACTTCAGAAAATTTCAGCCATACATAATGTGACCAACAGTGCCGGATTTAGGATCTATGGGCCCCTAGGCTTTTTGTATGGTGCGGGCCCCTTGGGTGCACTAAGGCAAACGGCGGCCACGACTCTTCCCCACATTTTAGTTTTTTTAAGTTGTAAACATAACCTAACCTTACAGGTAAAAATAACGATTAGGTTTTTCAATATAATCTTAAAATACATACTTTGTAAATTTTAAACCACGTTATATTTTTCAGAAAAATTCTAAGTACGCAGTTTTATAGCCATTAAATCTTAGTATACCAAGTGCAAGTTTGAAGTTGCTAAAAACCGCGAGAATAAACGCCAAAAAGTGCAGCCTATTTTACGTAATGGACGCCCGAAGTCGGTTTTTATCAGTTTCAGTTTCGAAAATGACCTTTCTTCTGAACTGTTGGTGACCATGAGAGAGAGCAACATTCTTAATGCAACTTCTACATTTGGGGAGCAATCTTTGACGTTATAATCAAACAAAAGTTTATACATCCATGTATCTTTGCTATCAACTTCTGGATTTTTCTCATAGTCTGTTTAAAACTGCATGTAAAAATGTTTAAATTGTATTACCTCGTTCACTAAATTGTCTTCCAAGACATTTTCGTATATCTCAAACAATTTTGTACTTTCTGAGAGCATTTCTTTATCACCGAGCATGTCTAATGTGTTGAGGACGTTCATGAACAAGTTTGAAGCAGTGATGAAATTGATGGTACAATTGTACTTTTTTGGTACATTTTGAATTCCAAAAGTACATGGGTACTACATCGACATTTTTGATACAATTTTGTCAAAACACGGCGCTACCATTGTGTATACATGGAAATTGGAATTTCTGTGGATGAAAATATTATCATCTTTTTCTACCTCATAGAAGTAAATAGTGGTGTTTCTTAAAAACGAAAGACTTCTTCTCCTTCAAGGGTTCTTCTTTCACAAGGGTTCCCTGTATTGCCAGCTCATCGGCTACACAGTTACCCATGATTTCGCTATGACCCGGAACCCAAATGAGCTTAATAGCGTAGTTATCCGATGCGGAAGTACAACTAGTCGTCACCATTTTCGCCTACATAAAATTGGTTACACTAAAGAGCAAACAATCCGAAGCCTCCTGTATTGCGGCTACCTCTGCTTGGAAAATGCTACAGTGATCCAGTTGCCTGAATTTCAGATTTATGGAGAGTTTTTTCTGTTTACACTTTTGAATCTAAACGAAAATTCGAGCAGCTGTTCGGACAGCTTGGAAATTGCTGCAAACTATACTGGATATTTTCCTCTTGTGAGATAACAGCTGCCATTTCACGGAAATTTTGTTGCTGGACATGTTTTACTGGAGATGTTAAGCGCACGTACCAATAGAGATACTTACCTATTTCAAAAACATATGTGTTCATATGTATGTATGGTCTTTTAAGTGTTGGAACTTTTTCGGCTGATTTAGTACTTTTTTCTTGGCCATTTGGCACGAAATTCAAAAACCTATTTATCATCCCTGGTTTGTCGGCCTCCACCTCTTTCTTAGTTCACTCCCAAGTGAGTCTATTACAGGTATGAAACTTTGGGTTCGAAATTTATTCGATGGTTTTTTAATGTCATACCTTTTTTAAAATAATTTAATTCTTTTTGCTTTATTTTCATTTAAACATAAACATATACATATGTACATTTTTTTTTATTTAATTTAATTTTTAAAAAACTTATTGCTAAAAGGCGAACAGCCTAACGCTAAGTCTTTCGAAAGACAGTAACGAGCTTTCAAGATAGTTGCAGAAGTTACACATTTCTTACGAGAGACTTTTGTCTTGCGAAAGACTGTCGTGAGTTGAAAGACAGTTGAAAGAATTGCCCGGATATATTAATTTTACACTACTTTATTTGAAAATTTGCCTTTAAAATTTTGTATAAGATAGCCGAATGACCGAACATAAAGCAATAAAGCTGTCAATTTATCCACTTGCTTATTGACCTTTTTTATATATTTTTTTGTGATGTTGCTTTGACCAGGCCTTGAACCCAGACCTTTCGGAGTGGTAGCGCGCACTGCTGACCACTACACCACAGCGGCCACAACTTTAGGTGCGCTTAAATTCTCTAACACATTCACCATAGCACTGTTTTCAATATTTTCTTTATTTCGTCACTAGACACGAATAAAAACGCGCTAGTGTTTTGACGGCGAAAAAAAGACGCGTAAAAAAACTTTCCGAAAAAAGACGCGTAACCTATTTTGTACATTCTGCTAACATTTTGTTACGCAAGCCTATTGGGTCGATAGCCATTGTCAACCATTATCGCGCCACAACTATACATATGTTGGTACCACTAGCGTGTGTCTCAACATGTTGCGCAGCATGTGTGGGAAGGCGCATTTGTAGTAACCCTGCAAAAAATTGTGCGACTAATCTCTAAAGCGAGTATTCCGAGATTACTCTCAATCGGGTACAATTGGACATTAATTAGTCGCAACTAGTCTTATACAGGTACTAATGGAGGTCAGTTAGTCTCGACTCATCCCTTATGGGTATAATTGGAGATAAATTAGTCCCCAACTCATCTCTAACGGGTACTATTAACGATTTAATGATATGTACGCACTTAGTCAATGAAATTTCATGTGCGGCGTTGGCACACAGAGAGAGTATTCGCCTAACAAAACTGAGCACCCCAGTTCGAATCTCAGCTGGCGCAAATTTTTATTTTTATTTTTTTAAAGTGACTAGTCGCTTTTTGTACCCATTCGGGTATAAAGGTTAACAATTAGTCTCTTCATAGGACACGCTCGAACAAAAGCGAACAGTTCATTCCATATAAAGAGATCAAAAGTGGTATTAGTCGCATGCTCCTTTGCGATTGCTCCCGGAGTCATCCCGGATTACTCCCATTTTTTGCTATCCCTGCGGCTCGAAAGGGCCCCAGCCAGCAAAGAAAAGTAAATTTTGTCGACAGTGCAGTTGAGACCAATTTTCCGTATCCGAAAACGCATACAAAAAACTCCTACAGTTATCATTAATTTTCGTATCCAGAAACAATGCAGTTTAGTTCAATTTTCCGTATCCGAAAACGCATACAAAAAACTCCTACAGTTATCATTAATTTTCGTATCCAGAAACAATGCAGTTTAGTTCAATTTTCCGTATCCGAAAACGCATACAAAAAAGTCCTATAGTTATCATCAATTTTCGATTTGAATTTGAAAGCAATAATTGTATTTTATTTGCTTAAGCTAAACATTTGAAAGCATATATGCTTAGTCGGCAGTGGCTGAGCGTGCAGAGGAGTATGCCGCTATTTGTTAGCTTCCAGAAGGTGCCGGGTTCGAATTCCGTCATGCGTTTCCTAATTTTATTTTATTTCTTTTGAACCATGCAAAGTATCTATGAAGTGCAGAAGGAAAGCGTATTGAACGAAAAATTCTATCAGACAAATTTCAGAAAAAACAGTTTCACAAACTGTTGTCTGTATGTATGTTTCTGCCGCACACTTTAGTGGGAAAACGGATCGTCAAAGTATCCGGAAATGGAATCAGTAAACGGACAAAAATCCGCACTTCATCCACTTTTTTGTCCTTTTTCGGATCGGTTTTCGGCTTTTTTGCTGGTTGGGGCAGTTGTGAGAATGAGT